ACCTGTTAAAAAACAGGTTTAGCTGGTTTGCTCTCCCAGCATACCAAAATCTTAACCAAAACGTCGTCCAGGGGGATCGTTCCTGATCAGGACTCATCTTTCCTTTTGGAGTCCCTGTGGGAGGCAGCAGTGTTCTTTGTTGCACTTCTTTCACCACTAGTGTCTCAAGGATCCTTGTTTACTTTACCAGCTTTGAGACGAGCGTGCCTAGAGCAACAGCACCCCTTTGTAGCCTGTTCCCTACTGAGATGGCTGGTTCTGAAGGCTTCAGGTAACACTACTGACCAACAGGGCCACTCGCTTGCACTGAGTCTTGTGGATCCAAGTGGTGCAGCCTTCCACTCTTGGCTGTAGGGGTTGTCAGCAGCACGGTATATGGACCTTCCCACCGTGGATCAGACCACTTCTTTCTTCTGAATACTTATGAGAACTAGGTCGCCGGGCTGTAGTTCACTCTCAGGTTCTGAAACAACATCACACAAATAGGGTGGTAATACTTTGTTCTTGACATTTCTTTGCATCAGTGTTTTCTTCATATAATCTGCAATTGTGTCTCCTGCTTCTGTGGCAGGTGTGTGTCTGAGATGTGGGCTCTCATAGGGTCTCCTATAAAGAATTTCAAATAGTGACAATTGTTCTTTAATGGGTGTTGTGTGCATGCTTAGTACCACTAAAGGTATGCAATACACCCAGTTAATAATTACAAAAGCAAACTTTTTCTCTTCAAATTGTGTTAATTCAATAAAAAAACATTTCAGTATGTTCAAAAGGATATGTAGGTTTAGGAAAGGAACCTGGTTCTGTCTTATAGTTACCCTTTTGCATATATTAAGCACTGGGAACAACATTTTTGAAAAGTAATTTGTTAATCCATATGCTGTCTATGTTGGTTCTACTAGCTTTACCACCCCCTCTGTGGAGACATGGCAAAGTCCATGGCTCAATATGGCAGCTTATCTGTATAAGGATTTGGGGAGGATAGGCTTTCCTTCAGATCAGGTATAAATACTTTGACTATTCTGTATTTTTTTACTCCTTTATTTAACCAGTGTTCTTTTTCTTGTTTGGGTGCTGAATCTTGTAGCTCAGTTAAGACTTCAGATGTCCTTTTCTGTATGTCAGTATCAACATCAAGGTTGAGTATTGGTTTTTGAGCTGCTTGTTTGGCAACTTCATCAGCTTTTTTGTTTCCTTTTGAAACCTCATCTGTGCCTTTACTGTGCTTATCACACTTACATGCTGCAACTGTCTGTGGCAATTTGATTGCTTCCAAGAGTTGTAGTAGCAAATCTTTATGTGTTAATGGTTTTCTTGTGGATGTAATAATACCACTATTTTTCCATTGTTGTGTAAAAACAAACAAGGTTGAAAAGGTATATTGGCTGTCAGTACAGATAGTTACTTTATTGTCTTTGTTTACATGCTTCAGTTATCATCAGTTCAGCAGCTTGTGCTGACATGTGTAGTGGCAGATGTTCAGCTTTTAATATTGATGTCAGAGTTACTACAGCATATCCTACTTTATTTGTCCCATCAGGGTTTTTACTTGCAGAACCATCTACAAACATGACAATGTCTGAGTCAGTGAGTCCCATCTTCAGCAGTTAGCGCGAGTGTTGCTGGACTTAAAGTAGTGCACCTTTCAGTAGTTAAATTATGTTGTGTGGACATACATGATAAATGTTTAGCTGGTGACATATGTAAATTTTCATGCTCTAATAAGAGCGGTGAGACTGCATGTGGAACCTCAAGTGTTAATGGTCTGTACAGCACTAAAGGTGCTGAAGTCTGTACAGCTAAAGCTGCAGCAACCACAGCTTGTAAGCAGCCTGGCATGGCTTTACTCATCATATACTTTTGTTGGTTTCGTTAATGGCTCAATGAACTTATTTCCAGTTGCGGATAACCCAAGGAGTTATGGGAGACAAGCTCCAGAGAAAACAGTGAAAAACATAATTTAAGCACAATACAAGTTACACCCAGTATGCGTCAACTAAGCCTAGCAAAAGATAAGTTGTCTATGTATTATTAAGGTAGCATGGGAGAAACTCTAGGTTGAAACATCTTCTGGCCTTGACTGGTGTGGTATGTTGGTAAGGCAACAGTTACATCTCTACTGACCTTTTAGGTTTCTGCAAAACAAGGTACAAAATCATTAGAGTTGCATGAGCACTATGAAGTCAGCATGGTTGAAAATAGCATTTTGCTGTTGAATTTATTAATTGAATGATGGAAACATACACTATTATGCTTAGTTGGCATGCACATGATATAACAGGCACCAAGAGTTTCTGCACCAGCGCATACAGCGTATGTCAGCACATTCTGCAATCTCAGTGATTACTTTAGTAATTATTTCTGTAATGTAAATTCAGAATGTGGATGGTGTGTTTGCTTGTTGGCTGTAGTGGCTGTAATTGTTGATCTGGTGATATGCACAATCCCTTCTTTTATCTGGTTTGGGAGTTTAATATCCAGTGTACCTGGGTGATGCTGCCTTCGTATCATTTTGTCCAAAAGCAGAGCTTTATGTTCGGTTGTGTTTCCTGTCTGGCAGTAACACAACAGAAATATTGCATTATGCAATCCACCTTTATATGTTTCAGTATTCAAGTTCAGTTGTGTCAGAATCAGAATCAGAATTATGTTTATTGTCAATTTTACACCTAAGAGGAATGTGTCCTGGTGCATTGGTGCATAAAACATACAAATCACACCGAAATCACACAGAAAAATGAAGTACTTTCAAAATATAAATAAATAATGATAAGAAAGATAAGAAAAGAAAA